TTAATCTTCAAATGCCAATTGACAACTGGGAATTTATCAAGTTTACAAAAACGTATCTATTCTTAACTATGGACCAAGAAACAGGCAAGATGTCCTAACGGTCTCAGAAGTATAACAGAGTTCCTGCTCTAAAAAGTTCACCTTACTGCGATATTGAGACTCTAATGCAAACAAAAGGAGCCCTGGTGGCGCAATGGTTAAGCACTCGGCTGCTCACTAAAAGGTCGGCAGTTCAAGCCCACAAGCCGCTCCATGGGAGAAAAGACCTGGCAATCTGCTTCTGTAAAGGTTACAGCTTAGAAAACCCTATGGGGCAATTCTGCCACAATGAGTAACTATGACACACAACAACAACAGTGTAAATGAGACAAGGTTTATAAGTGGTATGATTATAAAGAGGTGACTAATATGAGCCGGATGACTGGTCTGATTGACCTTGACATTTCTTTCCTATCCCAAATCTCTAGGAACAAAGCAAAACAGTCTTCCTGGTTGTGATAACCAGCCTCTAATGCATCTCAATGATCCTTGCCCCCTGCTATTCACACCCTTGTGTAGTCCCCTCCCACAATGAGTAAGGCTGAACTGTGACACCAATAGGACATTGCAGAAATGGTGTGCAACTCCTGAGGCTAGGTCACAAAAGACATTGCAGCTCCCACTTTGCTCTCTCTTGGATTGCTCTGTGGAAGCAGCCCTATGGAAGATCATTGTGGCAAGGAACTGAGGTTTCTTGCCAACAGTTAGCACTAAGTTGCCAGCTAAGTGACTGGGCCCCCTTGGAAGTGGATCCTTCAGCCCTAATCACACCTTCAGATGACTGAACTCATGCCAACATTTTGACCACAGCCCCATAAGAGACTCAGGACCAGAACCATCCAGCTAAAGCTGCTCTTGAATTCCTGACTCACAGAAACTATGTGAAATAGTTTGTTAAAAAAAAAAATCAGTACCAGATGAGGATGAACAGGTAAGCCAAGGCCAGATCAGAGAGGGCCTCCAGGCTTGGATTTTAAATTGTGTACCAGTGACCCCTAAGTGAAACAGGATGGGGTGGGGAGTCCTTTATGGAGTGGGCATGACTCCTGCTAATCAGAGCAGCTTCCTGCTTATCAGTTGTATTTGTTTGTACTTCTAGATAAGATATCATTTGAAGAAAGGATATGTTCTCTACAAATGTTTGAAAGCTGTAGGTGATAAAGAGCCACAGAAAGGTTTTAAGTGGGGGGGATTGACACAATGTGCACTTCAGATAATTAAGATAATTCAGTCTGTAGCAGATAGAGTGAAGGCAGAGTCAACAGTACAAGGGGAGTGACTGGATGTGTACAGGGAATGGTGGGGGAATGGGTGAGACAAAGAGAGGAGTGACTCCCAGATTTCTGGCTTGGGCCACCATATCACATGAATGGCGGTATCATTCATCATGCTGTTGTTGGTGGTGTTGTGTGCCATCGAGTCGACTCCAACTCATAGCAACCCTACAGGACAGAGGAGAACTGCCCCATAGGGTTTCCTAGGCTGTAATCTTTATGGGAGCAGAGTGCCAGGTCTTTTCTCTCACAGAATGGCTGGTGGGTTTGAACTGCTAACCTTTCGGTTAGCAGCCGAGTGCCTTAACCACTGTGCCACCAGGGTTCCCTTCATTCATCATAGGAGGAGGAAAAGCAAGGAATTGTGTTTAGCTGACCATAAGAGACCTAACTGCAGTAGCTTAAACACAAGAGCTCATTCTCTTACGTAAAAGAAGTCCAGAGGAAGGCAGTTCCAGGCAATGATTCAGACTCAAGGAAAGGAGGCAAAAGCTCTGCAAATCTTGTAGCTTTTCCTTCCTGCTTCTAGGATGGCTGCTGGTATTCCAATTATGTATACTTTCCAAAAGGCAGGAAGGACAGAAGAGCAAAAAGGGCTTTCCTTGGAAACCCTGTCCAACAACTTCGACATACAACCATTTTGCTTGGCAAAAGCTAAGTCACATGCATAACCTTAGCTGTTGGGGGTGGGGAGGGCTGGAATATGTACTCTAACCTTACAGACGCTAGTGTACCGGAATGTATAACTGAAGAGTGTTGGAGTGGTATTGAGTGAATCCATCTGCAGTATTCTCCACAGTAGAGAAACAATGAGTTTGGCCTTGGTCATGCTGGGTCTAAGGTAGGACATCCAATCCAAGTAAAGAGGTAGAACAGGCAGTTAGATACACAGTTCTGGAGAGCAATAGAGAAACGTAGGCAGATCTACATTTTGAGACTCATCAGTATATAAGTGTAACTGATGCCATGTACAGTAATAAGAATGCCCAAGGAGAGTATAAAAAGAGGGAACAAAACTAAGGTAAGAACCCTGGAGAATACTAACATTTAAAGGACAGACAGAATAATAAGAAGACCGAGAAGTCCAAAGAAGTAGAAGAGGAATCACAAAAACAGCTTCACAAAAATCAAAGCAGGAAAGTGCATCAAGGCAGGAAAGTGCATGGTTAAGAAAGATTTGGAAAGATTTGGACAGAAAAGTACCCATTGGATTCACAATTGGGGGAGTGGTGGATGAAGGGAAAGAGAGTACTAGGAAATGATAGTGTCAAAGGAGGGTCACTTTAGCACGGAGAGGCCTGGAGGTGGAAAGTGATAGGCTCCAGGGTATGTACTGGGCAGTAACCAGTGCTCCCCATACTCAGCTGGAAGAAGAAGAAAGGTAAGAACACACCAAAATTCCACCTTGGCCAACAGGAAGCACACTAGAGTGGACCCCTGGAAGGACTATTCATGATCAGAACAGGAACTACGTCAACCAATTGGGAAGTTTACCATGAAATTCTAAAAACTCTATGGCCCAAGAGTCATTTAGCCAGCGGCCACCAACCTGGGCAATACCTGGCATCGAAGCTCGGACTGAAGCTGGCTCACCTCCAGGATCAAGCTGATTGGAGTCTGGGGTTTCTACTTCAGCCTAGGGCCACCCAGCAGTTTTCTGGCTTAGAGGTGAGGGCATCTGCCTTAAAGCGCCATAGGAGCTTGTGTCCTAGTTGTGTTATTAGGTACTTTCTATATTAACTGAAGACCCTAATAAATATTATTTTAATGATCCTAAAGATAGTCAGTTGATAATTCTCAAAATCAGAAATCTAAATAAAGGTTAATGGGAGGAGACTAAACACAAGAGAACGGATTAGCCTTAGATAAGGCATGTTATTTATAAACCTTCCTATATACCATAATGGAGTATTTTCCTGATATTTTCTGGTGGGCATTCTTTTGTGAATTTTGTAACTTTTATAATCTGCACCCCTAGTTGTATCCCACAGATAACCCATTTTCTCTTCAGCTGCACAATTCTAGATGCCCAGTTGTTACAATGGTGCTTGATACCTGACTTACTGCTGAATGTTACCTAGAACTGATTTCTAACTCTTTTCATTAGTGTGGGCTGACAACAGCTGTTTCTTAAATAAACAGCTATCTATCAGCCTGTAGCTTTTTCTGGTTCAACTACAGAATATAAGCTCCATAAGGACAAGGCTTTTTGCTCGTATTCCCAGGCTTCTAGGACAGTACCAGGCACATAGTAGCAACTCAGTAAATATTTGCTGAATGAATGGATGAACTTTTTAATTCCTCAGGATTGATCTCTTTGTGGCATCTGGCACCTGTTGAGGAACCACCCCCCCCCATGTCTTGAAATGCTCTTCTCTCATTTTCCACACCACCAGGTTCTCCTAGTTCTGTTCCAATTATTTTGTCTGCTTTTTACATGCCAGCATTTCCCAAGATTGCATTTTCAGCCCTCCCTTCTTGCTCCACACTCTCTAATGTAACTTTATCCCTTCCCAGGTTTCCATTTCTCATATACACCAAGGACCCCCAAATCTAAAACAGATCTAACCATGTCATTCTCTTGCTTAAAAAAGTGATGCCTCTCCATTGCCTACAGATAAAAGCCCAAGCTTGTCTACTTCAGCATTTTACTTTCTCCCATCCCAGTACACATGAACCCCTTCCTATAAAGTAACCTTTGCTCCAACCCCAAAGGACTATTCAATTTTCCCAAGCACACCATGCTTGATGTTTTTAATGCTTCCATATCTCCTCTACCTGTAATATTTCTCACCCTCCTCAGCTACTTGGTGAAATTCTAGTTCAAGGCCCAAAACAAATGCCACCTCCTTTTGAAGCCTTTTCTGACCTTCATTCAGACAGAATGACCCACTCTCACCTGTTTTCCCATACCTTTTGTTCATATCCCCAGTAGTCTATCATATCACAATAAACCCACTGCCATCGTGTTGATTCAGACTCATAGTGACTCTGTAGGACAGAGCAGAACTGCCCCATAGGGTTTCCAAGACTGTAAATCTTTACAGAAGCAGACTGTCACATCCTTCTCTCTCGGAGCAGCTGGTAGGTTTGAACTGCCGACCTTTAGGTTAGCAGCCGAATGCTTTAACCACTGCACCACCTGGGCTCCCCTCATGTCACAACAGGCAGCCTATTCCTTCAGTGGGCTGTGAGCTCTTTAATGGTAGGAACCATAGCTTATTCATCTTCACAGATCCAGCCCCTAGCTCAGTGCCTGGCACGTGGTATGCTCCAAAGGATTACAGGTTGATTGAACTGATTCTACATACAAAAAAGCCAAATTACAGCTATCAAATGCTAATAGAATCACATCTTAGCACCATTTCAACAAAGCACAATAAAGGTATTGCTGCATTAAGAAGTTAGAGAAGTGTCGAGAAGGGAGAGGGTTGACATGTCGGGGGGTTGTTAACCAATGTCATAAAACAATATGTGTACTACTGTTTCATGAGAAACTATTTGTTCTGTAAACCTTCACCTGAAGTACAATAAAAAAAAAAAAAAAGAAGTTAGAGAACTACCAGAAACATCAAAGGATTGGGCCCAACTGGATGACGCGTTCAATACTACATGAGGATTTATATTCCTCAGAACTAGAACCCAACACAATAGGGAAATACTAGACTGAGAGTATGAACCTCTTACCTCCGGAGATACACAGTTTCCTCATCTTCTGTATTACAAAACTTATGGGCGTGTTTGGCAGCATCAATCACACGAGACCGATCCCGGGGCCTCATGGGTAACTTCTCTAACTGACAGTCTGAAGGAGTAGAGAAAGATTTGGTCACTAGAGCCACTGAAAAATACCCAGAGGCAATCAGAAGCTTTCTGTGGGGGCCTTGGCACTCTAATTTTTTTTTTTTTTTTTACCATAATTGCTATGCTTATTGAAGCCTAGTATTGAATTTGCCAACTAAAAATGACCTGGTATCAGGAGACCTGGATTTTTAAAAATATATATTTTATTGTGTTTTTGGTGAAAGTTTACACAGGAAATTAGGTTGTCATTTAATAATTTCTATACATATTGTTTAGTGACATCGATTATACTCGTCACAATATATCACCATTCTTGTTAATTCCATTTTGGTTGTTTGTTTCCATTAATCTAGCTTCCCTGTCCCCTCTAGCCTTCTCATCTTTGGTCTAGGGTAAATGATAACTATTTGGTTTCATCCAGATGATTATTTTGAGAAGCACAGTACTCATGGGTGATAATATTTATTTTATGGGCCAATCTATCATTTGGCTGAAAAGTGACCTCTCGGAGTGGTTTGAGTTCCACGTTTAAAGAGTATCTCAGGGCAATAGTCTCAGGAGTTCATCTACTCTCTACTGGTCCAGTTAAGTCTGGCTTTTTTTTTTAGGCATCTGAGTTTTGTTCTACATTTTTCTCCCATTCTATCCGGGACCATCTATGGGGTCCCTGGTCAGAACTGGAGACTTGGATTTTGGTTCCAGCTCTGTTACTACCCTTGTGATCTTTGGCAAATCATTTCCTCTTTCTCGGTTTTCCCCTCATTTGAAAGTCTGTTATTGTTAGTTGTTGTCGAGTTGATTCTGACTCATGGTGACCCCATGTGTTCAGAGAACTGCTCCATAGGGTTTTCAAGGCTGTGACCTTTCAGAAGCATATCACCAGGCTAGTCTTCCGAGGCACCTCTGGGTGGGTTCAAATTGCCAGTCTTTTGGCTTGTAATCGAGTGCTTAACCTTTTGTGCTACCCAGGGACTCCTATTTGAAACATAAGTGGATTATATTACCTTAAAAGTCCTTCCCAGCACTGCAATTCAAGCTTTCTATGAATATTTCTGTGATCACAGTACACTTCGTTTGTGTCATAATGCATTAGAATCATAGAGACAATCAAGCACTTGGCAATGTGTATGAGGACAGCGCTGGAAAAGGCGGATAAGTGCTAAGGAGAGAGAGGGTAGGTAGGATACAGTATACATAGTATGCAAATGATCCACCTCAGTTGGAGTTTTAATATGAAAACCTACAGGAAACAAATTAGATACCAGTATAAAGCAGATGGAAAATTGATACAGTGCAAATTAAGTACCTGAAGGGTCACAAAGTCAAGTAATCAGAATGATTCGGGTTAATGGAGGAGGTAGAGGGTACTGAGAGAACACTGGACAGTTTACACATTAGCTCATTTACTCTTCATGGCAACCCACTGAAGTCCACGTTATTATTCTTATTTTAAAGACGAGGGAACTGATGATTACAAAGGGTAAGAGATTTGCCAGGCATCTAGTAAGAAGCAGGACACGAATTCAGATCCAGCTGTAGATAATCCAAAGGCCATGCTCTTCCCACCACACCTCCTTGCCATTCATTCATTTATTCAATAAATATGTGAGGGCCCTCTATGTGCCACACTCTATTCTAACATTGTACTGGTGATTCAGCAAACAACAAAGCAGATAAAGTCCCTGCCCTGATGAAGGTTTCATTCTAGCAGAGGCAAAAAACCTACAAAAGAAATAAATATATGATTTCAGATAGTGATAAATGCTAACAAAAATTTAAACAGGGTTAGAGGATAAATAACAATCTCAGACAGTGATAAATGCTACCAAGAAAAATTAGGCAGGTTAAGTGGGCAAAGAGCAACAGGGATGCTATTTTAGATAAAGTAGTCAGGGAAGCGTTCTCTGAGGAAGTGACATTTAAGCAGAGGCCTGAATGAATCGAGGGACATTGAGGGAAGAGTGTTTGAGGCAGAAGAAATACAAAGTTCCTGGGGTAGGAACATTTTTTGACATTATGAAGAGAAAGCAAGAAGGCCTGTGTGGCTGAAATGCAGTAAGCAAGGAGAAGAATATTAGGAGATGAAGTCTGAGGGGTGGCTAGGGGCCTGATCACAGTGTCTTGGTACAGACTTTGGTTTTATTCTAGATGTTACAGGATCCTGAGACCAGAAGAACTAGAGGGTGCCCAGCTACCACTACCAACCATTCTGATCAGGGATACAACAGATGGACCCTGATAGAAGGGGAGAAAAAAAAGGCAACAGAATTCAAATTCTTAAAAAGTCCAGATTTACTGGACCAGTTGAGACCAGAGGACTCCCTGAGATACTCTTTAAAACTTGAACCAAAAATATCCCAAGATCACCTTTCAGCAAAATAGCAGAGTGGCACACAAAATAAAGGATATTACCTGTAAGTACAGTGCTCTACTAAAAAAAACTATGAGACCAAAAGGTCAACATTTACTCTAAAGAAAAGATGAGAAGATAAGGAGGCAGGGAAACTAGAGTACTGGAAACGAAACAACCAGAATGCAATCAAAGAGAATGTTGACACATTGTGAAAAATGTGACTAATGTCACGGAACAATTTGTATAGAAATTACTAAATGGGAACCTAATTTACTGTGTAAACTTTCACTAAAAACACAATAAAATATTATTTAAAAAATATTTTGTTCCACTCAAAAAAAGATGTTATAGGAAACCACTGGTTTTGAGCAGGAAAGTAACTATGACTGCTGTGTGGAAAATAGGCTAGTGGGAACAAGAATGGAGGCAGGGAGAGCAAGAGACTTTTGCGCCAATCCGGGTGAGAGATGATGGTGGCTTGGACTATAGTGGTAGAAATGGAAGTGGTAAGAAGTGGTCAGATTCTGGATAGATTTTCAGGGAAGCACCTGCAGGATTTGTTGATGGACTAGATGGATATAAGGTATGAGAGGGAGAGGAGTCAAAGATGACTGCAGGTTTCTGATTTGAGCTACTGGATGAACAACGATCATGAGGATGGTGCAGGACCAGGCAGTGTTTCTTTCTGTTGTACAGAGGGTCGCTATGAGTCGGAACTGACTCCATAGCACTTAACAACAACAACCGGATGAACAGCGGTACCATTCACTGCAACAGGGAAGACTATGAGAGGAGCAGTTAGACGGCAGGGAGTAGGAGATCATGAATTCAATTTTGAACATGATATATTTGAAAGACCTATTAGACATCCAAGCGGAGATGTTAAATAGGCAACTGGAGTTTGAGGAAAGGTCTAGGTTAATAATGAACATTTGGGAGTCATCAGCACACAGATGGTATGTAAAGTTTGGAATTCGTTGAGACGACCTGGAGAATGAGTACAGATTGTGAATAGATCAGAGGACTGAGGCTCAGGGCCTTGCAATGCCTAAAATCTGAAAGAGTAAAAGGAGCCAGACACTGAGAAGGGGCAAAATCTGAGGTAGGAGCTAAAATAAGGACAGTGTAGAGTCTTGGAAGCAAATGAAGAAGGCGTTTCAAGATGAAGGGCGTGATCAACACTGAGAGAGGGGGATTAATATGAGCATTGATTGATAATTGACCATCGGAACTGGCAACGTGGAGTTCAGTTTGTAACCTTGACAAGTATGGTTTAGATGGTGAGGTGGGAAGGAAGCCCTGTCTGAAGTGGGCTCAAGAGGGAATGGGAAGTGAGGATGCAGAGACAATCAATATAGGCAACTCTTTTGAGGAGTTTTGCGATAAAAGCAAAGAAATGGGGTTATAGTTGGAGGGAAATGTAGGACCAGAGAAGGGTTTTATTTTATTTTGATCTAAAATAGGAACTATTACAACATCTTTGTATCCAGCAGAAAGGTTAAGTGTCCAGAGGAGGTAGTTTTTGAAAAGCTTGGGCGGAGAGGAGATTATGGGATATTTTTTTCTAAAAGAGGGAGTTTAGTTTTGAGGGAGGAGAGGTCTGGATACAGAATCACAAGGTTAAACAGGAACGATGCCCTGGAGTGGGGCGAGGATGTGTACGGAGGATTCTTGTGGAAAGGAAAAGACCACCAATCTTCAATAAGACTTGGCTCACCAGATAGCAACCAGAGGAATTTCGCCCTCAAGAACCCGAAGTTTCGCTCCTTGCAGACGCTCCCCAGTTCCCGACTACTCACCCAGCACCAAAACCATCTGGCCGCACAAACAGTAGTAAACGTGGAGAGGCTTCTCGCCATCGTCGTATTCCTCCCTGTCCCGGGTGTCGGAGCAGACTACCGACCTGGAGACTACTTTCGGCATAGTTCAAACAAGCCCGGAAACTCAAACGCCCCAGAGTGAGGGACGCACAAAAGTGACGTCACAAGCGCGCTTTGCGCCTTTTCCCTTCGGTTATTCTTGTCACATGTCAGTAGTAGCCCTGTGCGCTTCCGGGAGGTCCCATTAGGCTAAAAGGCACGGGGGTCGCCCTGAGCCGCCCAGAATCTCCTTTGCCTTGGCTTGAGTTAACAGGGACTGCTTTACTTGGGGCACCCTTAATATTATTTTATATATATATGTGTGTGTGTATGTATATGTGAATGTATATATGTATATATGGAGCCCTGGTGGTGCAGTGGTTAAGCGCATCAGCTGCTAACCAAAAACAAAGCAGTTCACATCCACTAGCCACTCTTTGGAAACCCTATGGGGCAGTTCTGCTCTATCCTGTGGGGTCGCTATGAGTCGGAATTGACTCCATGGCAACGGGTTTGGTTTTTTGGTTTATATGTATGTTCAGGTATAACAAAGGGCCGTTATTAACACATTATATACATATTCAGACCTCAGGTGTGCCTCTAAATATGGTTTTTATTTTAATGGCTGTCTTCAGGATGAGTACCTAATGAAGTAGAGGCATCTTTTTTTAATTGAGATATAATTAACATAAAATTCACCTTTTTAAAGTGTATAATTCACTGGGTTTTAGTATATTCACATAGTTGTGCAACCATTACCACTATCTAATTCCAGAACATTTCATCACCCCAAAAAGAAATTCCATACCCATTAACAGTAACACCCCATCTCCACTCTCCCCAACTGCTGGCAACTGCTAATCTACTTCTGTCTCTATGGGTTTGCTTACTCTGGACATTTCATATAAATGGAATCATACAATATGCGGTCTTTTGTGAATGGCTTCTTTCACTTAGCATAATGTTTTCAAGATTCTTCCATATAGCACGTATCAGTACTTCATTCCTTTTTATGTCTGAATAATATTCCATTGAATGGATGTACCACATTTGTTTATCCATTCATCAACTGGTGAACATTTGGATTGTTTCTACTTTTTGGATATTATAAAAATGCTGCTATGAACATTCCTGTACAAGTTTTTGTAAGAACAGTTGTTTTCAGTTCTTTTGCGTATAAACCTAGGAATGGAATTTCTGGGTTATATGGTAACTCTATGTTTAACCTTTTGAGGAACCGCCAGACTGTTTTCGAAGCAGCTACGTCATTTTACAGTTCCACCAGCAATCTCTCCTTGCCAACACTTGTTATTTATTTTTATTCTAGACATTGTAGTGGGTGTGAAATGGTATTTCATTTTGATTTTGATTTACATCAGGGAAGATGACTAATGATGACAAATAATGTTGAGCATCTTTTCATGTACTTATTGGCCATTTGTATATCTTCCTTGGGGAAATGTCTTTTCAAATTCTTTGCCTGTTTTAAACTGGGTTACTTGGCCTTTTATTGTTGAGTTGTAAGGGTTATTTATATACTTGGAATACTGGACACATGTCAGTTAAATGATTTGCAAGTAGAAGCATTGTGATGATTTTGTCTGCCACAGGTATAAGGGAGTATCTTCCACCTTTCCTTCCCCAACCCAGGATCTGTCCCAGAATGCTCTTTGTGGATGACAGGAGCCTGGGGCAATCTAGAACAAGTGAGACAGTTTATATCGGATAACTTCAATAATCCAAGCGATGGTGCCAAAAGAGTAGATTTCTAACAGAGACCCTACTGAAGACAGCAGGCCTTATGACTAAGAAATGGACAGGCTGGCTGGAAGAAGTGTAATGTTCAAGATACACATGTTGTAAACCAATGGGAAATTAAGGCAATCCGTCAGCTCTTGAATGAACATAAATTAAGTAAAATATAAAATATCAATTTAAGTCTTAGAAAACCACAGTGTTTGTTCCTTAGGTCTTAGTCCAATGCCATCCCTATAATTCCATGTTATCCAATATTTATTGATCTAATACTGTGTGTCAGGCACTATGGTATATACTGGTTGTATAGTAATAAACTAAACATGGTCTCACCCTTCATGTGGTTTAGTCTAGTGCAGGGATGGGCAAAATTTTCTGTAAAGGTTCAGAGAGTAAATATTTAGGCTTTGTGAGCCAAGAAGCAAAATCAAGGATATTATGTAGGTACTTATGTAACAAGAGAGAAAACAAATTTCCACAAATGTTTTATTGATAAAATTTGAAATACAATATTAATAACTGAGTACAATTTTTTGTACTACAGGTCTACTAATGAGAGGGATGGCATTCTTTTTTTTGGGAGGGGATAATATTTCACTTAATTCAGGTTCAAAGTGAATGTCCCCATCATCAAAATTTGTTGCAAATATTCATCTGTTAATGTTGATCTGTAATGACATTTTATGTATTTCGTCTTTGAAGATGTTTTTTCACACGGATAAGTACTGATATCATTCCACAAGCATATGATTTAAGTTGAGCACATTCATCTCTTAGAAGGCATTTACAGAATGTTTTTAGATTCTTCTCTTGATATTTGTCTTTTAACATGTCATTACATTGCAGATTAAGCATTTCCAATTGAACTTTAGATGGAAGCTCCTCAATTACACAGTTGAATTGATTTTGAAATCTAGAACTTTCCTTTGCACTTTCATCAAGGTCCGAAAAATGCTGTTTGAACTGTACGTAGTTTGAGTTCAGAAAATATATCCATTGCAAATTTGCGTGGGAATGGTAATCGTGGTTTTTGTTTGAACTTTCGTCAGCCCTGGAAGTGATTAAAGCAGGGTGACATCACTTGTGATTCAAACGTTAGTTGTCGTCAAAGTGACTTTATCCCAGTATAAGTTTCACATATAAGTGCTGTTTGTCTTGCAATTTTAGGTTGACTTCATTAGGAAACATTATCAAGTCTGCAGCAAAAGATAATTTCAAAAAGCCATTCAGTGTTCAATAATAGTGATTGAGAGTGGTTCTTCTCATTCAGAAAAATTTCAAAATCAGCCCTGAGTTTTAAAAAATCTCAATAGAACTTTACCACTGCTAAGCCATTGAACTACTATTAGTAGGGCAGTTCAGAATATTCAGCTTCTATTTCTAACAAAAATGCATGGAGCTGATAAGATTAAACCCATGAGAACAAATGAAGTTCACTATTGACACTACTGGTTCAATAGCCCATGATAGATTCAAATATTTTCCTGCAAAATACTTCCTGATTACTATTACAGTATATGATAGGATTTAAACAATTTACATTTCCACAGGCTTTGTACATTTGTCCAACTCAGCCTTTTTCTACTCCATAAATATCTGTAACACATCTTAGCAGATTCTACTTCAGGTTGTACTGAATTAGTATTTTCCCAACTTCTTTGAAAATATTCTCATCTGTAGTTGTTCCACACAGACCATACAAAATTATACAAAGAGGTCAGTTCTTCAGTCACCTTAAACTCGCATTGACTCCTTGAGTAAACAATGACAACTGAGTAGTATTTGTAACATCTGTCAACTCATCAAGAGCCAAGGAAAACCACTTGAAATCATTTGCCTTGCTTTTAAACTATTGATATTGCTCCCAATGTCCTCAACTCTCTGAGCTATCGTTCTCAGCAGAAAGGTTAATAGTCTCAAACCAGTTTATTTTCCCTGGGCATATTTCTTTGTTGACTGCAATCATATACTGTTTAATTAACTTGCCGTCAGTAAACTGCTTTCCTTGCTGGGCTAAAAAATGAGCCAGTCAGAAACTTACTTTGGTTGTAGCTTCATTTTCCTTTTTGATGTTTGTGAAGCATTCTGCTGTGATAAGATATTCTGTTTCAATTTTATTTTTTGACCATTGCTTTTCTGTGAGTTGGGAATATTATGAGGAGTGCTTAGTCTGGTAATGTGATATGTATTGTATTCTTTTAGCAGAGATAGAGAACCATTGGTAATAAACACAATGCTTTGCTATCTAATTACAAAATAATCCACACTGTACTGTTCCTTAAAATCATGACATTCGAAGTCCACTTTTCTTTGACCGTTTTGACATGATGAGTATGCCCTGGTAATAAAAAACAAAATGCCTTGGCAAGAATGTGGAAAAAATGGAACACTCATACATTGCTAGTGGAAATGTAAAATGGGGCAACAATGGGAGAAAATAGTTTGGAGGTTCCTAAAAAAAGTTAAATATAGAATTACCATCTTACCCAGCAATTCTACTCCTAGGTATATATCCAAAAGAATTGAAAGCAGGAATGCAAACAGACACATGCACACCAATGTGCATTGCAGCAGTATTCACAATAGCCAAAAGGTGGAAACAACCTAAATGTCCATCAAAAGATGAATGAACACAAGGTAGTATATACATACAATGGAATATTATACAGCTGTAAAGAGAAATGAAGTTCTGATGCATGCCATAATATGGATGAACCTTGAAAACATTATGTTAAGTGAAATAAGCCAGACACAAAAGAACAAATATTCATTTATAAATATCTAGAATAGGCAAATGCATAGAAAGAGAAAAGTATATTAGTGGTTACCAGGGACTGAGGGGAGAGAACGGGGAATAAAAAATATAAATACATACAGATTCATGCTGGAAAAAACAAACAAACAAAAACTCACAATACAGTAATTCAAAATGCTGCCGAGTTATAACTGCATCGCTGCAATTTCTGGTGCACAGAGCAATGATGTGATGAGAGTGCTGTATACTCTACTCTGCCACAGCTGCTCATCTCTGCCATTGTAGCACAAGAGCAGAGATAATATGTAAATGAAACAGTGTAGCTGTGTTCCAATAAAACTTTATTTATGGACATTAAAATTTGAATTTCATATAATTTTCATATGTCATGAAATACCATTAAGTATCATTCTTCTTTTGATTTTTTTCAACCATCTAAAAATATTTTTAACAAATTCTCAGCTTGAAGGCTATACCAAAAAAAAGATGCCAGGCTAGACTTGGCTGTAGTTTGCTTATCCCTGGTCTAATGGATGTGGCTGGTTTGACTGAATTCCCGTGTACAACACTGTAGTCATGTGTATTAGTTTCCTATTGCTACTGTAACAAATA